AGATTATGCTTCTTTCCCAAATTTCATAACCCCTCCTGCAATGTGTTTGCACTCACCAGGTGCTTTGAAATGTCTTCCCTGGGCTTTGGTCTAGAGAAGCACTCAAAAACCAGCTTGTTGCTGGGCTTTCCATGAAAGGAGATGCCTGGTAGGGACATGCTTTTTTGTTAGACAAGCGACTTATTTGGTACTCCCGGGGTGTCTTTGGCTTGTGCTAGGGACTGAGAAGGAAGAAATATTAAGGCAAGGAACTGGGGGATCAAGGATATGCTCTGTGGTGTCTCATTAGCTTGTGAAGCTCCAGTTCCTTACCTGTTCTGGGCATCCCAAGCTTTAAACAAAATGGGATTAACAGTGTGTTGCTGGTAAGGCTGGGTTTGTAACGATGGTGAGGCTGGGAGCAGTGGGCAATTTAGGTGCTAAGGAAGGGTGAAGAGCTGCTTGGTATCTGCACCAGCAGCCCTCCAGACCACTGAACCTTCTTCTGTGTTGCTGCCTGGGTTTTGAAGGTCTTTGCACTGATTAATTGGAGCACTGACGTGTGCTCCTCTGGGCTCTTAAGTTTAATTCAAGTGCTACAGCAAGAGGTTAGAATAATGAAGGTATCTTAACAGCTCCAACAAACAAATCAGCCTTGTGAACACCAAGTCCTGTCTACAGCACCATGATGGTGACAGGTCGAGACAACTGCAGTTAACAGCACTACAGCGTGTTGATTTGTTCTCTGTATGCAGGGCTAAAAAGTATGTTGCTTTCTTCCTTTGCTTGTGGGAAGCAAGTTGCCAGCATGGTTACTGGATGGGGTGGGCCGGGATGAGTTTCCAGCCAGCAGCTGGCACAGAGCAGGCACTGAGGAGTGGAAGTAAGGTTGGTTGTGATTATGCCTTAGGCTATTTGAAAACTGCTGCTTGCAAGTTGGCCCATGGCAGCTGCTAAAGCACTTGTGGGATGGGTTGGAGAGGCTGGCATGCTCTGCTCTGAGGAAGAAGGTGCTAGGAGGCTTCGTGTTATCTTCAAAAGAATAGCATCTGCTTCGCATTGTTGACTACTTCGATGCTTCTCTCTCTGCCAACCCCTGTGTTTCTGCGCTGCTGCCGGCCCGCGGCCGCAAGGCCCCGCAGCGCCTCCGCGGGCAGAAGGATTTCATCCCCGACGGCTCGGCCGAGCAGGCGGAGAAGCTGCGCCAGTGCCGGGAGGAGCAGTGGCAGCTGCTCTCCGAGGAGCGCGTGGAGCGGCTGTGAGTCCCCGGGACTGGGCGGGCGGGGGCCGCTGAGCGCGGGGGGGAATCCCTTCTGTCCTGAGAGGGATCGTGGCGGGGGGTCAGAGCACAGCTGCTGACGACTCAGGTGTTACTACGAGTAAAATCGAGCAGTTGGTAGCAGGTAGGCGTTAGCACAGTACGATCTCTGGCCTGGCCCCTCAGCTGCTCGCAGCTCCCCCTCCGGAGCAGGGGGTCAGACTGGAATACCAGGGGCTTCAGTGTGGGTTTTCAGAAAGTCCCTCAAAGGGCCTTTAGTTTTCTCAGGTGTGTGCATAATCGTGTAGCCTTTGCGAACAGCAGTCACAGTCTTGGGCACGGCCGAGTTACACAGCCCCTTGCTGATGCTCATGTGCGGCCTTGTGCAGATTAGACTGACTCCCGGTGCCCCTGGCTTATCAGTTGTGGTTTCAACAGCACACCAGTGTCTGGACCTTATCTTTACTGGGAGATTTTCACGTGCTACTTCTCAGCCCACACTTTCACTGTTTGGCCTGCTGTTTTCTGGTAACAGTTTCTCTGTCTGCACTGATTAGTAGCAGCAGAAGCTGTTCACATAAAATCACATCACTGGGGACTTGGAGAGAGAATGGTGACCTCCAGCAGACAGGCAGGTCGGACAGGGTGAGCTGTTATCTTCCACTGTTGTCGAAGTCTGGTTTGTACACTCATCAATGCGAGACTGGGGCAGCAGTGGAGACCCTCAGGCTGGGAGGGTGACTGAGTAGGTTTAGGTTTCTTTTCAAACGGGGAAATTGTGGTACTGACTAGAGATGCAGCACAAGGCCGTGGTGAACCCTACAGGTCTTACCTTCTGTTTCCTTGAGCCAGCTGCTAAAAATGCATGTTTCATTCTTGCAAAATCACCCTCCTCAGCTATTAATTTTTTCCTCTGAGTACCTGTGAGTGGGATACAGCAGTCTGAGAGGGTCTTGGCAGCATCTGAACTTGGCTTAGGCCATGCATCTTCAGAGGCTGCTGTAGCCTATGGACAGATGTCTGCAGTGCTGACTGAAGACACTCTTAATTAGTTGTGGTAATAAAATAAAATGGTGATAAAATCTTCAGATAGTACTTCTAGATCCAGAAGATTATGTTTTTCCAAGGACTCTGTAAAAATGCCACCTGGAGGTTTGCTGCCTTTTGATACCTTCCTGAGCTTGTTGTGTTGCTACAATAGGAGTTGATTGTAGAACATGCTAGTAATAACAAACTAATCTTTAACTTTCTTAGGGGGAGTCTGGTGAAAGCTGAATGGAAGCCAGGACAGGGCATCGTAGAGCTGCAGTCCCCTGCGGTGAGTCTGCTGCAGAGTGTACTCGATACCGTTATCTCCTGCTGCCTGTTGCAGATTCCTTGATTTGCTGCTTGAAAGGAGAGAGAGTCTGGTTCTCAGCAGGGAACAGTCAGAGCCCATCTGGGATTTGTGCTTTTCTTCCAGGGGAAGTTTTGGCACACCATGGGGTTCACAGAGCGTGGCAAACAGTGCCTGCTGCCCGAGGAAGCTCTCTACCTGCTGGAGTGTGTAAGTAGGGTACCTGCACGTGGATGGGGGCACTGGGTCCCTCCTGAATGATTGGAGGAGCTGTAGCAGTTTTAGACTGAAGTCTGAAATCACTTGACTTGTCCTGGTGGCTGCTGCAGTTTGAGCAGCAGGTAAACACCTGTTTCTGCAGGCATTGTCTCTCTCAGCCTGTTGCTGATGGAGCTGTTTGTCTCCAGGCCACAGGTTCACATGCTGTACTGTAAAGCAGCCTCTCTGTCACTGACAGTGTGTGTTAGTTGGATCCATGGCCAGTTTATCCAGCTAGTATCATGTTTAACCTGCTCCTACATCAAATACGACAACAGAGAATAAGAAGAGTTTTAGCTGATCCAAATTTCCTGTTAGTTTAGCAGTAATAAGTCAGCTCTCTTACCACAGTGAAAGAAGCTTGAGGATATTGTGAGTAAGTTTTCTATTGAGATCTTTACTTTCTAGCTCTGGGGGTGGGGAAACACGCATTTAGATATCAATTCTTTACTGAAATGTATAGGTATAGGGACTTGAACTTCTGCAGTCCAGGAAAACTCACTATTCTGGGAATTGGAAATGAGATCAAACCATTATCTTATGTTCCTTGCAGGAGTTAATTAGAATTAAATGTTTGATACTGAGAAATCCTTTTCCTCAGAACTGGTGTACAGTTAATGAGGACATCTGAGACTGGTCAGTGCCTCCTCTGTCATAAGCTGACTTCCTCCCTTATCCCCAGTGTATCTTAGATATTTTGCAATGGCAAAGTGCATAAGTCCATTGGCACAGTTTTTCTGTGCTTCTCTAAGAAGCTGATAGGAATTAGTGACACTATCTAGCTTGGTAGGGCCACATTTAGGCACTAAATCAGATCTTTCCATGTGAAGGATGTTGGAATGGAAGGCAGTTACATAGCAGTCAGTGCTGTAGATGTGTTACACTTAAGCAGAGATCTTTGGGGTTGCTCCTTAGCATGTCTTCCCAGTATATATGGCAGAAATAAATTTAAATGTGGACAGGAGAGTGAGGCCAGGTTGCTTTCAGTGCTTATCTGCTTGTTATCTGTTAGGGCTCAGTTGGATTTTTTTTTTTGCTGTAGAGAGGGGTTTTGTCTCTCCACCCAAACCTGTTATCAGTAGAATGGGTGCACTGGTCTAAAGGGAAATTTTTTTCCCTTAGTAAAACTTAATATTATGGGCATCTGATACTATCCCTTAAATCCTAACTGCAAAGGTAGGGATTTTTTACCCCTGGCATTTTGACAAACAATAGATCATAAACAAATGGATGAAAAAAAATGTAGTCAGTTGCTGAGTACCAAATCTCTCCCCAGAAGCGGAAAAGACCAGTTAGATGCCTTCAGCCCATCCCATGGGAGAGGTGTGGTTCCTAGTGTTTTGGTTTCTTTGTTTATGAATAAAGACTTTCTTAAAAAAAAAAAAAAAAAAAAAAAAAAAAAAAAAAAAAAGGAAAAAGGCTAGCCTAAAACTGCCTCCTGGAGGTTAGTTGCTATTGCCTGGAGAATCTACCTGTGGGATCACTGGGACTGCAGTAAGTGCTTCTGGGGAGCCACCAACTGATGACAACTGAGGATGCCATCAGTTCCTCTCCTAAATGTTTTTGTAGTTGCACTGAGTCCTGAATCACTGAGATCATCAAAATTAAAGAAAGTTGTCTTCCAAAGCGATGATTACTTTGGGTGTTGTGCTCCCAGCTGCATCCTTCAGACAGATGCAGTGTTGGAGCAGGACCTGACAGCTCTGGGTAGGAATTTCTTACCCAGCTGCTAAAACCAGGGCATGGGGGGGACTGGGCATGGGAGAGGGACTGTAAATAATCCAGGTCATACATGGGGAGACATGGATATCATGTCAGGGAGGGTGCTGGGACCAGTGGGAAGAGACTGGTGTGACCTTGCCTAGATTTGTTCCCTGTGATTCTCTCAACACTAAGTTTTGCCCTGCAGGGCTCTGTTCAACTCTTTTACAGGGATCTGCCCTTGTCAATCCAGGAAGCCTACGAGATCCTGCTGTCCCAGGAGGCAATGAGCCTGCCCCATTACCAGGTGTGTTGGGACCTCCAGCTATTGCAGGGAAGATGAAGGCAGAGAGCCCAGCCTCTGCCACACAACTTCCAGTGGCTGAGAGCAGAGCAGGACAGTTAGAGAGGGAAGGGGAGTCATTTTTGGTTTTTCCCATTCATCTTCTTCCAGATGATCAGTTCCTGTTTCCCCACTTTTTCTTTGAGACCTAACCCTGGCATTTTCTCCTCTGCCAGTGCCACACTGTGTTCACTCAGCTGTAGTGGAACTGAAGTAAATTGTTAGGTTTTAGGGTAGTCATTTAACCCTCTTGCTTTCCTTTGCTCTAAGGTGTTCAGCCACTTGAAGCAACTGGGTTATATTGTACTGAGATTCGACCCCAGGTAACCAGCTTTTTCTTTCCACGCTGCTTTCTCCTTTCTGAAGACCCTGAGCAGCTCAGTGCCCACTGCATGGCCCCAGTGGAACAGCAGAGAAGAGGACTTTGACCCTGCATTCCATCTCTTGGGAGGATTAAAGGCTAAAAGTGGCACTCTACCCTTCCTTGCTCCTCCCTCTTGCGGAGGTGATTGGGAACATGAAGTGGGTCATGAACTGAGGACCATCCTGGTCCTGCTTGTGGATTTTCTGTGCCTTGGAAGAGAAGGTTTTTGTTGCTGTGTTCTGGGGGCTGAGCAGAAGGGTGGTTTTGCTGCCCTGCCCTGCTGTCAGCCTCTGTTTTGGTGTCTCCTTACAGCACTGTCCTGTCTCCCTACGAGAGGCAACTGAACCTGGAAAGTCACTGTCAGGGCTCTGGGAAACACCATCGCAAAAGGAGGAGGAGTTCCAGTCCCCGGTAAGGGTGTGGCCCAAAGCCGCCTTTCATCTTCTCCCAGGCTCTGCAGCTTGGGAACAGCATCCTTAGCCCTTTGTGCTGTGGGTGACATGCCTGGCACAGCTGCTCTCCGCTGTCCCCAGGCAGTGCAGTGCTTTTCATGAACTCTTTGCAATGTTCCCTTTTGTCATATCTTTACTTCAGGCAGGGCTGATAGGGGCAAACTGCCCCTGAGCCTCCCAACTGCAGTGCTGCCAGAATAGAAAGGTGGAGGTCAGTGCAGAAACATGTTGCAGATGTCTTCTCTTGCTCTTTTTTAGAGGGAGCACAGACACCACAGTGCCCCACCTTGCACATACCCCCCCCCTCTCAATGCAGCTAACGTGCTAGGTCTGAACAGCAGAGAGCGTAGCTGGGTACTGTCCTTGCACGTGGCCTCTAGACGCTGCCTAAATGCAAACAGAAGCTGGCATAATTAGTAATTTTGCTAATAATTATGACAGCTTCCAGTAGGTGGCATCATTCTTTAAGAAACAGGATGAGACTGGTCTACAAGTAAATCAGTGCCTGAGGAGGTAGGAAATCTCTGGGACTAGAGACTGAATCTCACAGCAGTAAGAGGTGCTAGCAGGAAGGTTTCTGCCTGGACTGTGCTGTTTTGGCTGAAGTTCATCATGTTTGTGTGGAGGTGTTTGGGTCAGCGTATGGGGTGTGTGGAGGCTGCACGGCAGGTTGGGAAAGTGTGTCTGCACAAATCAAGACTGAGGTTCTCCTGGTGTTGAAGTCAAACCTCATACAGGACTGCTGAGAAGTTTATTCTGCCTTTGGTATCCACTGCTTGTTTTGGCCTGCTTTTTTCATTTTGTCACACAAGCAAACACTCTCCTTCCAGCCAAGAGGTGGTTGTCAGGGTTTGCAGACCTGGCTGGGGGTTCCTGCCACCTTTACAGTCCTTCCTTCAGGCTTGGCAGACTGCACTCTTTCTGTTAGAGGGGAGGAGACAGGATTCAAAGGGAATAAAGTTCCATCACACTCTCTCCCTGTCTTTTATGCCGCTGCTTCTGTCTTTAGGTCGCATGAGAAGAAACCCAAGATATCAGAGGACCTTCCAGAAGCTGAAAGGACCTCTGAAAAAGCTGGAGGTGACTGTGGAGACTCCAGCTGCCTTCCCATGGATGAGAATCCCTTGTCAGAGCAGCCAAAGGGATCAGATGCTGGCAGTGGAGAGGGGGAGCCAAACCCAGTTCCTCTTGATACAGGACAAAAGGACTCCCTGAGCCCCTCCAGGAGCGGGGCTGGAGACCACAAGGAGAGCAGCACTGGCACCCATGCACCTCGCTGGGATTTTACCACCATCATGTTGCCAAACGTGGCCCCAGACCAGCCGTGCACACATCTGCCCTTGCCTGACAACAGGCTCCTGCCGGAGAACGTGCCGGGGAGGGAGGTTGATGCAGCTTGCTGGTGTGCACGCATCAATCAGAAACAGGAGAAGCTGTCACGGAAGGAAAGGGAGCAGCGAGAGAGGGAAAGCAGGTACAAGAGCAGCGTTAATGCGGACCAGGAGGTGAGGCACTGCTCCAACTGGCAGGAGTACAAAGCCCTTTTGGAGCAGAGGAGCCAGCAGAGGGTTTGGAGACGACTGCCGCATCTCTGGGACCAAGCTGTCACCCCACTTCTGCGGCCAGATGAAGCTACCTCATCAGGTAGCGGCTCTGGGAACTTGACAGGGACCCCCTTCTCCCCCCAACTCTGTGAAACGTTGCCTGGTATGCAGCAGCAAAAGGGATGACGTCGAGAAGCTGAACATCTAGGGGACAGTACCTTGAGATGGAGAATCTCATGAGAAGGCCTAGGCAAAGCAGGCATAGAGGAACCCAGTCATGGACATGGGGAGAGGGAAGAAAGTTTGTCCTATGCCTTTCCATCTCGTTTTATAGCTCACTCCAGTGCCAGGATAAACAGGGCCTCGGGAGGTCTTCTAATCCATTCCCCATGTCCTACTGTATTGCAATCCTTCCTGCTAGGCTGTTAGGCATGTGCAATCAGGGCCAGCAAGATGCAAAGCAATTGCAGGGTGTTCTGGGCTGTGCGCTGGGGGGAGATGAGGAAGTTGAAGTCTTTGAAGTAGCCAGTGGTGACTGTGGTGCTGCCAGCCATTGTCGGAGGAGGAAGGCTTGTGGGTGGTGGTGGAGAGCTTGGAGTGCCCTGGGAAAGAAATAGCTGGTCTGATCCTTTCCTGTTGCTTCTCCCTCCAGCTGCGCTCCTCCAGCAGATCAGCGTGCTGCAGCCCTCCCACATCCTGGACGGAGCCTCCCGGTTAGTATCCATCCATCCAGCTCGTAGTTGTTAGGGAGTGGTGGTGTCTTGTGACTGTCCCTGCTTGTGAGGTCTGGGAGATGCTCGCAGCAGCAGTTTGGGAGCTTCCTGACAGCTGGGATGCTGAGAGAACCCAGCGCTCGGCTCCATGACTCTGTTGCATCTGTAGTGAGGAGCTGACGTTTCTGTGAAGTGCCAGGTCCTGCAGCAGCAGAGCTGGGGCATTCCAGGCCAAATAAAACATCAGTGTTGCACTCTGTTCCTGCCATTTTCTCTCTGGATCCCAGCCAGGTAATCTCCCCCAGAGGTTTGGTTGGATATCACCTGTGCCTTATCCCTGGAATGTGCTGCCATCCCTGCTGCAGTGATTATAAAACCTTGGCTTTGGGACTTCTGGTTCTGTTTCTGCCTCAAAGTCGGTGTGGTGTTTGTGTGCAGTCCCTGTAGGGCAGAGCAGTGCTTTGCTTCTGTATCTGTTAGTGGTGCTTCTTGCGAGGGGGTCTGCGGAGAAAGGAGTGTGGCAGATGTGGGGCAGGACTTTGCTCTGCTCTGACTACAGGAAAGATCTGAAAGTAATTAGAACAGTTGCAGGGTCAGCCCTCTGAGGAGGGAAGCCTTTCAAAGGGCCCAAATGAGCCAGGCTTCAAGGGCTTTTGCTCCCTCTTCTCTGCTTTTATCTGTACCCGACAGTGTTTGGATCCCATACGAATGTGGATGTGTTCGCTCTTCTGCAGGCTGCAGGAGGACCCAGAGGGCATGAAGATAGACTTCAACGTGTATCAAGCAGATGCCGTGGCCAAGTTTAAGAAGACAAACCCTGGGAAGCCGTATGTCAGGATGTGTGTTAGGAGGTATTCACGGGTCTTATGCTGTGAAACACAGCAGTTGCTGTTGTGGAAATGAAGTCCTAATGATCTGTAAATGACCTAGCATCTTGTGAGCTTTACAGAATATCACAGTGCCTCCCCTGAGAGTGTTCCTGCCCGGAATTTTATTTTTTTTCTTTCAGTTCCTCCTTTGTTGGAAGCTGTGGCTGACAATTCCCCCAGCCCTTGCACTCAGCCCACGCTGTATGGTCATCTGGTTTTTGCTCATGTCTGAGTATTACTGGAGTCAGGAATAAGAAGCCACAGCTGTATTTATGCAATGCTTGTGAAACTCCTGTAGAGCTCAGTTTTGCAGGGAGCTGTATGGTACCTGAATCCTCAGCCAGTGCAGATCCCTATGGATTTCTGCAGAGATGTTCCTTCCCAGAGCTTGCTACTGGCTCAGGGCCAGGGCTTTAGTATTTTGATCTTTGTCAAATGTAACTTTAAGATCAGTCCAAACAGGATAGGTGTCCCCTTTCTTGCTGGATCCAGAATCTGATACTTAAACTTCAGAGGCAGGTACAAAGTTCAATCTCTGCCTTTTCTAGTTTTGACATATACTAAAACTGTCCCTGCTTCACTTTCTGCAGCTGTAGTAGCCAGAGCAAGGAAGGTGGTAATGCAGTTTTACAAAGGTCTGTTGAGAGCAAGGAGGATGATCCTTGCTTTATAAGTATTTTCATTTAAGAGCAAACAAACTGCAGAATTAAAAGGAGAGAAAAGCAGGTCAGATGTTGATCCCAGCAACCTAAAGATCTTCCTAGCACAAAGATACTAAGATTGCACTGGATTGGCAATTTGCCAGTAGTCCTGTGAGCTGCATCTAGGCACAGCATGGAACAGTGTGCAGTTGCCCTTGTTTTTGGCAAAGGATTTGACAGCTCCCAGTTCTCAGTATCCCAGGGTTGGCAGCCTCCTGCTTTGACTGAAAGAGGTGGGGAGGGTCACTACCAACTCCTAAGACCAAAGTGACCCATTGTGATCATTGGCCAGGACAGCTTTGTGTTCTTGCTTTGAGAACAATGAGGTATTTTTCTCTCTGCAGCTTTGATGAGCAGATTCCATCCCTGCGGGCTTTGAAGCAGGTTACATATCAGAGCGGGGACGTCCCGGTGGTCTTTGCGCTGGTGGATCATGGAGAAATTGCCTTTTATTCGCTGAAGGAGTTCAAGCTGCCAGTTGATGTTAACCACTGAAGTTGCTGTTGCTTGCAGAAATGGTATGGGATGAAGGGGAGAGCTTTACTCAGGATTTGATTTCCTAATTGATGATATATTACAGAAAATAGAGCCTGTGATAACTGGAACCCTTGGGTAGTTGACCAGTTTATTCACTGTTAGAGACTTCACCCAACCAGATGGCTCAGGCATAATAGCAAAATGTACAGCAAACAAGCGTGTATGGCTTAGCTGGGCATTTTGGGGCATTTTTGGACTGTAATATGCCCTGCTTTGTTCTTGAAGCCACTGGTTCTTCAGCTTCCTCATCTCATGGACCAGTAGTCTGCCTTTTCCATGTCATCTTTGACTTGTGGACTGTTAGAAAACACTTTGCTGGTGATCATCACATTTAACATGTTCATTAAGATGTTAAATCACCACTGTGCTACACCAGTCCAATGGTTGGGACAGTCACTGAGGTCAATCAGGGGCAGAATAAGCTGATCAGATCAGTGGTGTCCTGAGTGGTGGTGTCATTCACCTATGCCAGCAATGGTCAGATCAGGTTCTGATCTGAAAAAGGGACAGCCATAAAACTCAGCAACCTGGAGTAAAGTTTCCAGGTACTTGAGAGCAGGAAGCTGTGCCTTGAATGCTATTTCATGAGCTGGAGGTCACAGAAGGCCCCAGAGCACTGCGGATGGCACCCCATTCGCTGTGGGCGCGGCTGTGCTGAGATGTGTTCTGGCCACACAGATGCCATGTTAAAGTTTGGGTGCCAGTACCACCACACTGTACCTGGTGGTCTCACAGGGCTGTGCTGCGGCCCCCTCTGTGTCAGCCTGACGTCCTCTTTCCTGGCTGTGGATCCTTGTCTTTTGCAAGTGAGATCCCCGAGTAAAGAAAGAAGCTACAAATTCCTCACGAGCCTTCTAGTCCTGTGGCTGTTGTGCTCTGAGGACATTGCTGCTTTCAAGGCTCTGCTTTGGGCACTTTCCACCAGGATATCCAGGTACCAAATTTGTTTTAGCCTCTATGCAAAAGCACCAGAGAGTCTGCCGAGAGGATGGAAGCGTGCTGAGCATGGCTGTGCTCGGTATCAAGATTTTCAGAACTGTTAATAGCAACCGGTTTAGATGCATTTTTTTTGATAATTTTTAAATTTCTTTTGGAGACGGGGAGAAGGCTAAGCAATAAAAAAGCCTTTTCCAACAATGCAAGCTCCTCAGTGTGGTTCTTAATTCTCCCAGAAACCTTAGTAGGTTATGCAGAGGGAGATGCTCTGGAGAGGTACTGGGACTTCAGTAGCAGCAGCTGGTGAACTGCCCGTGGTCATACAGCCCTGTGTCTGTGTAACCCTGCTCCTACGCCCATCTGTGTTGGGATCCAGCTACTGCCTCGTTCCCTGGCAGGGCAGCATGACCCGGAGCCCCTCCGTCCGCGCGCAGTTCCTGTTGGCACACAGCACCTTGCCATCTTCCTCCCGTGTGGTCAGAGGTGCTGTAGCCCAGGGTGGCAGGGACCTGGGTGGCAAGCCCTGCGCTGCTCTCACATGGTTCACACACCCATGTTATCAGATGTTACCAGAGGAAGGGCTCTGCCCAGGCCAGGGTCTGCCAGTTCCTCCCACACGCCCTCCCCTACCTCTTTCTCCTTCAAGCGGGGCTTTTGCGGTGAGCCCGGCTGGCGGCACCGGCGTTGCCCACACCTGAAGCCCCGTGTCCCAGCGCACCCCGGGACACCGGCGGCTCGCCCGTTAAACTTCAGCCACTGGTGTTGAGGGGTTGGGTTTGTCCGGGGCGGGGAGGAGGTGTTTGATTTTTTTAAATTTATTTTTGGCTTATCAAGTTGTGTTTGCTTTGGCCGGCGCGGGCAGCCGAGGGTATCGCACGGCAGCCTCACATCCTGGGATTTGCTGGCGGAGGTCGCGGCCGTGGCCGCCGGCTCCGTAACTTCCTGGTGTAGCCCTGGGCGGCGGTGGGGCTGGGCCGCCGTGGGGGGCTGCTGGGACCGGCCCCGGGACGGAGGGACCTGCCCGGCCGTGGGAGGTGGCCCTGCCTGCCACCTGGCCTGGGGGGGCTCCATCTGCTGCTCCTGGCTCGAAGCAGATGTGATTAATAATTGCAATGTCGCCTTTGGGATGCTCTGTTAGCATTTTCTTTCTTTCCTTCAAATCCCTGCCTATACTAAATAGATATGTCACTGTTTTGTTGGGTTTTTTTCCCCTCCCTAAAGTTGTTAGAGCTCGATGGGTGAGGGAGCACAGCGAGCAGGTGAAACAGGTAGCTTACCTTTGTTTCGGGTTGCCCAGTAGTTGTAGCATGGGAACAAACTGGTTACTGACTTCTCTCCTGGAGGTGAGGTTTAATCTTCATTTTGGAGAAAGTTCTGTGTGTTTATATTGGCCGTTGTTAATGGTGTAGAGCCGTTGAAGTAGACTTCTGCATCTGTGTTTCTGTGGTGTGGTGGCACAAAGCTTTACGCTTGTGTGAGGGTAGGGACAAGATAGGAGGACTGCTTTGCTGACATAATAAAAGTTGTCCATTGTAATGTGTTACTTGATGGGAAGTGCTGCTCTTCGTAGTCATCTGAGAGCACTTCAGTCAACTGGAATATCTTGCTTTACCAAGTCTCGGGTGAAGTTGTGTGCCCAAAGCAGCTGCCTGGTGATTTTAGCTTTGATTTGGGAAGTTGGTGCTTCTGGCAAGCGGAATGCAAAGCGGTGGTACCTCCCAAGCTTCTCCGTGCATCCTGGCACGTTCCTTCTGAAGACATCCTGGCCCGCGGAGGGGACAAGGATGATCTGTGCAAGTACTGAGCTGTCCCTAATCCTGATCAGTGCTGCTTGTAGCTACTTGAGGGGCCCCATTTAGTTTAGGGTATCGAAAAGGGAGAAGAGTTCTCAAACATCTTCATAGGATGGTGCTGAGACACGTCTGTTATTTGGTTTTGAACAAATTGCATCTGTTGTAACTACTGACTGAAGAAAATCATTGGGGGGGTTAAGGCAGTTGTGACTCCTGTATTCTCTAGTGGCTTTTTGTTACAGTAATGTGATTGTTCCTGTGAATTGCTTATGAAAGAGGTGTGTTTTTTTCTTGCCTGACATAGAAGCTTGAGAGATGTCAAAGAGTAAGAGGTTTTAAATATACATAAAGCTAGTACATGGTAATAAAAGTATGTGATACTGCTAGTAGCCTGATCTTTCTGTAAAAGGGTTTATCAAAGGAGGGACTGGTGGTAGATAAATTTTGATTTCTGTGCAGAAATTTTGTAGTAACTCCAATTCTCATCTAAAAGTTTCTTCTAGCTAGATCTCTTTGTGTTGCTTTAAGAAGCAAATGCTTTCTGGTTTATTCCACTGGCCCACTATGTTTGATGTAAAATACTGTTGCAAAGTTACAAGCCACTCTTTCATTTGAATCACGCTTCTTGGTAGAAGCATACAAAGAGTTTTGCATCATGTGCAATAATGTTGTTCAGTGCAAAGACTTTGTTCTGCTGTAGCGTTTTGAAACTTCATGTTGTCATGCTCCCATGACAAGGAGAACACAATAGGAGTCATAATGACACACAAGGTTTGCACAATTACTAAATTCATTGGAAGGGAGCAGTCCCTGCGAACTCCAAGCATAAAGCTGTCAAAGTACATGGACTTACCTGATTTGTATCATTTGCTCTCAATTATTTTCCAAGAGTTCTTGGGGAATCTATCTTTGATCTTTTATTTAATGTTTTCTGTGTTTTGGGAGGGTGGCCACCTGCACACGGTGTTGACACAGTCTGTTCAGTTGTTCGTTTAACTGGCTGTCTCTCCAGGTTCACAAAAATAAATCCTTTTTACAGGAGGATGTTTTACAAGAGGTTTACCTTTCTGCTAGTGCCTGACTACTGTCTGCAAGGTGCATCTGAACACTCTCCTGTTCATAAAACTGTGAGTGCCGGGGGCTGGCAGTTAATCAGCAGTTGTGTTGTGTAAGCCAGATCTCCACGTGGTCTCATTAAACTATGAGATTAATATTGTTAGAGCATCTTCCTGCTGAAGCCTTATCCTGGGAAAAACGGGTGGTGTCTTACACTTCCAAGGTTTTCATGTGCTTCAACTGTTCCTGCCCTTGCTCTGGCTCTTCTGTTTGGCTTGTGCTTTCTTCTTGAGTATTTGTCTTGATAGTGTATTACGGCTGAGTGTGATTGTAGAGATGAACTTTACAGTGACAGCCCAGTTAAAGAATAGCTAAGGGATTGTTTCATTGATTTCAGGCTAAAAGTGTTCTTAAACTTGTGATTTCAGTGAGTCATGTCTGATGGCTCCTGTAATTGATAAACTTGATAAGACTAGTGTTTAGATGATGCTTTGATCATTTTTGTTGCGAGATCGTTGGTGCTAAGTAATAGCTTTTTCCTGTGAAATTGGTCAGGCCTCTCTTCTGTTGATGCTGACTGGGTTGGTAACAGGAACAAGGCGAAGTTCTGGGTGCGGGAGGAAACCCAGTTCAGACAAGGCCATGGTGGTGACTGTTTGTATAGGAGCACTAACTGCTTGCAGTTCAAACAAAGCTTGTTGATAAGGCCTCTTTCATTTTGGCAGGGTTGGTAAAGTATTATCAGATGCATAGGTAGAAGTTCTCCCTTTAAGGACCAGCAGGAAGGGGTGGTGAGGAAGGAATGAAAAGGAGTTCTAAAGCAAGGCAAGATTTAAGAGTTTTTGTGATACTTGATGGCATTTTGAAAAGAAAGCTGTTGGACCTTATCCCATTGAAAACCTGTTCAAGCTGAGTAAAGGTTGCCTAGGAAGCACACAGATGGTACCTTGCAACTTTCCTACGTGAGCAAAATAAACTCATTATGGGTATATTTTTTTGTTGTGGGGTTAACGTGGGACCGTATCCATACTTAATACTGTCTACGTAGTAAAACTCCTGACCTGGACTTCCTCATCTTGTAAGACTGGATTAACTTGTGTGATTGGGATTTACAGCATTGATTCTCTTATACTTTTGGCTGTAAATTTCACTACTGTGGAAGCACATAAGCTAAAATTGCAGCAAATTTCTACAAAGGGTAATTTCCCTCCAGCCCATGCCTAGTTGATGGAGAAAACCTGAAACATCTCAGCAAGCTGTGCATGGGCATCGAGACATATTGCTGCATGCAAAAGCAACAAAGACAAAGCAAAACGTGGAGCTCTGGTGGATTGCTAACACACGGCAGTGAGGAACAATTAATGCTTCTCCTCTGAAGAAGCATTTGGCCTTCTATTTAATATGTCATGAGACGCAGCATGTGTACTTGCTATAAATCTCAACATCTAAAATGAACAGAACAGAGCAAGGAAACCAGAATGAAATCTGGTTTCGATGTTAACTGCTCCTTAGTCTGTGATTGGAAACAGGATCATCTTGCAGTTCATGCTTTCATTGCCTTTCTGTATGAATAGCGAAGAGCTTTTGTTTTGTGGCTGGATCTAACCAAATGAGGTGAAAAAGGGTACCTCCTCGTATTTAGCAAAATGTTCAGCTAACAGAGCTGATGTGCAGGGCACTCTTGAGCTTTGCTGTCAGGTGTCCACGTACTGAATATGAGCAAAACTGGGCTTGACTCAGCCTTGGGCTGTTGTTGCCTGTAAACAGCTGACCTCAGTGCATCTTAGAAGAGAATGATGCCTGTAGTTTCTGGTAAAAGGCTCATCTTTGAAAGTCTAAAGAATTGTTTCCCTGGAAAATAAGAATATTAGATACATGCAGACCTGGCATGTCTTCAGAGGCTACTGGAGAATTCCTCTCTGGCTACTGGTAGCCACAACTGTTACCATATGGTTCTAAATGCTGACTGGCAGATAACTACAGAGCACATGAGACTGGAGTTTTATGTAAGACACTGAAGGTGTGTGGGAGAGAAGCTGGTCTGCTAATATGTAAATGTGCATCTGGAAGATAAGATTTATACAGATTGTGGAATCTTTGTTTTTCTAGAATTGGAAAAGACACATTGTACTAAAAATAAAATTCTTCTCATTGACAAGAGCTTTGTAAACTTGTAATGATAGTTCTGCTTGGGTAACCTGTGCTGCAGTGGATGCCATTCTCTTCACTGTTTCTTCTTTGCCTTTGCTTAAAACTGCTTTTCCTCTCATCTTTCCCTGTACTATGACACTCAGGATTTCTTTGGTCAGGCATGAAACCCTGATACAAGTCAATGAGAGATGACTTTTGTAG